GTGGAAAGTGGGTTTATCCACGTTGTTGGGTTAGAGGTTGACGCGTGTTTGTGCCAAGCCGATTATTCGGCTATTGTAAACTTTTATTCTCTTTGATAAAGAATTGAGTAATTTTTTCGACCTTTGACTTCTGCCCGAGGTCTAGAGTTGATACAGCTTGATGGCTGTCTTTATCGAGCTTAGCGACAAGTTAAAGGCCGAGAGAGTTATCATGTACTTCTTCTGAAGACTATAGTTGAATAGAAATACCTGGCGCGACGGGGACGTCGTTTAATAGGGTCCGGGAAGACTGTCGTACCAAATACCCTTACCAGGGTATTTGGCGCGCTTTTCGCAAGTCACGCAAGTGCAGTGTCACCCGCCTGACGGCGTGCACGTGGGCGGAAGTATAGGTTCTTGTCAGGGTGAGAGGCGCGAGTGGCAGGCGGAGGGTGTTGACGGCGAGTCGCCACCATACGGCGCGTGGGCATGCGCAACGTCGCAGATCAGCGGAAGACGCGGCGTTATTCATACAATTAGTTTATTATTTTTGTCGTCGCCCGCGAACCACGATTTAATTACAGCGCGGCGACCACCGTGGACCTCAAGGTCTCGGTTGAGTATTTGCTACTACCTTCGAGAGTCGCATAGGGCCCGGTCCACCAAGGCCCATGCTAAGCTTTGCAGCGGTCCGGTGCCTCTGATCCCGCAGCCCGCTTACCTAAGGGAAAGCTCGGCCTTTGGGTGCCCGAGGAGGTGGAGCACTCCGGCTGAGCGAAGGGGACACGCGGAGGCTGTGGCAGGGCTGGCCGGGAGGTACTAGGTGGAAGCGGGCGGACCGTTGTGTCGGGGCGCTGTCGGCCGGAGGACAGCGCCAGAGTAAGCGCAGGGGGAGGGCAAAGTGCCAGAGGGGAGAGTGAAACCAGCCAGGAAAGGTTGTACCTGGACAGGGGGTGGCACCGGGTACACACAACAACGAAGACCGAGATAGTAGGGTGGCCGACAGTGGTGTAGCAGCCTGGAGGGAAGGCAAGTGAAGAGAATGAATCCAGGCGTGTTTCCACGCCGGATTCACTCGAAGGGAGAAGCAGCGGAGAGAGCATAGCAGGCGGTAGTACCGGGAAGGCAAGCGACAGACAGCGGGGTGGCGCAATAAGCACTGCGCAATAGTGGGCGGAGTGCGGAGAACGGAGTAGTGGCGCAGCGGGGGAGCGAACGTTCTGGAGCGGAGCTGGCCGACAGATAAGAGGGGTGCGGTCGGAAGCGGAGGGAGAAGGAGAGCGATGAAGAGTAGGCAGTGAGGCAACGGGGGAAATCGGGTTACCGGTAGCGAGTGACAGCAAAGGAGAGGGGGTGAATCCGGACGCACTTTCGCGCCGGGTTCATTCAGAGAAGGGAGACCGCAGCAGCAGGAGCATGGCCATGGTGGACAAAGGAGACGTTATCTCGCCCGATTCTTGATGAATCCGGGCGAGAAAAGACTCTAAGCGGGGGTTTTGGGGGCCAGCGAACCCGAATATGTAGTTAGATTAGGGAGATAGGTAGTAAATCGCGGAGTTAGTAATGAAGATAGCGCAATGAGATGGCGGAAAGGAGGGAAGAGTGGGAGGAGAAATAGAGATATCACTCGATTCCTGATGGGATCGAGCGGGGTGGAGGCTTGAGCAGAGCTTTTGAGGCGAGGCGATTTCAATAGGAGAGTTAGTGTTAGCATTGTGTTAGCATTAGAAAGATAGGAAAAGAGGTTAGTAGAGGAGTAGGTGCGCCGGGGAACGGCGGGAACTTGCGACGACGGGAGTTGATGATGAGGTGTTATGGTCGTTCCTCGGCCCATTGCGACACGGGAGGGCTCTGCGTAGGGGTTATTGAGTGGGGCGACCGTGATGGGAGGCTCAGATCTGCGGCTTATGCCGTAGTCTGGCCACCGTCAGCATTGTGGGCTGCGCCCAGCGGGTCGGGAGGTGTAGGGATGAACCTCAACTAAAAAATTCCCACGATAAATGAAAGTTGAAAAAACATTCAATAAAAAAAAATATCCTTCATATTTATAAATTTTCATTCCAATGTCCGTCCAATTATAAAATTTTCAATTTAATTTGATAAGTTCCTGCCTAAATATGAGTTTTCCCTTCCAACTACATCTATTTGTTCAAGATAGAATGAAAGTCTGAACGAGTTTATGAAATGTTTTAATTAAACTTTCATTCTACTACAACAAATATCTTCTAATTTATATTGGATTAACCTATTTATGACTGGAAAACCTTACTTAGAATAACAGTCCAATTAAAATATTTCATGAACTCATGCAGACTTTTAATCCGTCTCTAGCATGCAGTTCAAATAAGAAGGGATACCCCATTCTTGGAAGGAAAGTTTTCAAGTAAGACGAAAGTTTTTAAAATTGGAATGACATTTTTTAAGATGGAATGAAAATTTAAAATTTAGAATGTAATTTTACTTTAGAATGATTATTTAATTCTAGGAAATTTTTCTGTTGCTGGCCGTGATGTTGGCCAGGTACCTTTGTCTTTTTTTGACGAGCAAGCGTTTTCCTCACCTTCTCGGGAGGTTCGGTCTCAGGTCTCGAGCGGGACTAGCGTGTTTCGGAGAGAGAGAGAGGGAGCACGAACACACACACACACACACACTGAGGGGGAGAAAGAGAGTGAGCGAGTTGGCCGCAGCCAATCGAGACGGGGTGGGCTAGTAACAGTTAGTAAAAGGGAAGGGACCATGCACAGTCAATTGGGTGGACGATTGCGACTGGTTGCATGGTATACGGTGCCTCGCTACTAGTCTCTAGTATAACTAGCCTGCAGGGAAGGAGTGACGCTGCAAGAGGAACCGATAACCAGGCTATATGAACCTGCCCATCAGTATGGGTATAAGCCAAGGAGGGGGTCTGGCCTAGGGAGCACGCTGATTGCTACTAGGGACTGTGGCCGCTACTGATCACTGCATATTATGGCATGCTGCTACTCGCCGCTGTGTATGGCTGCTTCACGCTACACACAAACTGTTACCGCCTTTGTTAACAGTGTGCTGCCGCTGCGTCTATGGGCTGTGCACGGGCCGCTGTCGTCGATTACTGCATATTGCCGTATACCACCGACTACCTCGGCTACATGCTTGCTATAGCAGCCGCCGTGCTTACTGAGGACTGCTAACCTGATGGCGATCGTGTGCGTCACGGCGTAATTGCTGGGTTGTTGTGCTAAGCTGCGGCTTTACTACGCCTCACTGCACACTGGGCAGTGCTGCGATACTCGAAGGGCATACGAGGCATGTGTTGTGTCGTGTGTTGTTAACTAAGGCTGCGTGGCTGCAGTATGTCAAGGAGGGCGAGGGTGGTTGTGGGGTGAAGGGAGGTCACCACCACAGGCCGGAAAGTGGTTGGAAAGGGAGGGGTTATCGCTGAGATTTGGAAGGTTGTCAGGAGGGTTGGGTTCGGCAGTTTGATTCCAAGTTGACCAAGCTATGTCACTCGGCCGCCATTGCGGGGCCCTCAGGCGCATCCAGGTTTCAATGCCCTCTCCTGCGAGTCTAAGAGCGCGCCTCTTGTATCTGAGCGACTGAATGCTCCTCTCTCTGCCCTTCGCACTCTAAGTCTAGTCTGTTGGTTCTGAGAGGAAGGCGGCAGGCGGGAGTGCAACCCGTGATCCGCGCCAAGGCCTTTGTGGGAGGTTCACCCCACCGATTGCGGGAGCTCTGCCGGAACTTAGGAGGAGTCTTGGAGGCAGGGAAGTGTGTGGTAATTCCCTGACCCTTTCTATAAACCCAACTATAACACCTAGTTGTACATCTTTCTATGGTTTGACTAAGTATACTGTGTGAACCCTGTATTTGACTTTGGGTTGACGTTCACGACATAAGTCAGACTGAAGTAAAGGAAATGGTTGTGCGAATCCAGTTTCAATTTTGTTGTTTGACTCAAGGCAGATTGTGAACGAAGGGGAATGCATCAAGGGGAAGGTTGGGAGGAAGGTGGTTTTGTAAACGGATTGACTGGTTCGCTGAGGCTGGGGAAACCCAGTGATTTGTTTATTCTGGTTCTGAATGGAGCATCAGACCGCTTTATAAGTTTGGGTAGCCTGGAGCTCTGGAGGCTGGGACGTCCCCATAAGTTTGGGGAGACCCGGTGCTGTGAATTGCATGGAGGGTCAGGACGCTCTATAAGTTTAGGTGACCTGACTGCTCATACAAGTGAGGGCTTGATTGTGGATGGTTTTCAGGAACCCAAGGCGCTCTATAAGTTTAGGTACCCTGAGTTGCCTTGTTTTTCTGGGTTTTCTTAAGTTTCTTCGTTTCTTAACGAGGGGGCCGAGCTGTTCTGTAAGTTCAGGTGGCTTAGTTTCTCCCTGCTTTTATTCAGAGGGAGTAATCTTTGGCAGAGGGCTATGTGTCCGAAATCGGATTCAACGGGGGTTTTAAGTTAAACGGTTAACTCTCATTCAATTCCCGTTTCAACTCCCCATTGAACCGAGTTGAACAAAATAAAAATAAAAATATATGGGGGTGTATATTTTTTTGCTCTCTACATCCCCATATTTTTATGTTTATTTTTTTAGCATTAAAATTATTTTCAAAAATTCAAAAACAAAACCAGACTCAAAACAGATTGGTGAGGGATGGGTCGCCCCCCTATCCCCCACCAAATCACACACACACACACACACACACACACCCACACACACACACACACACACACACACACATACACACACACTCACTTTCTTTCGCCCAAGTTGCGCAGGCGGGGACCCCACCCAACTTCGGCGCAAGTGAGTGAGTGTGTGTGTGTGTGTGTGTGTGTNCCGCGGCGTCACGCTCACGCCACTTCAAAATGAAACACCGCTTTGACGCACCTCCTCTGTGTCAACGTCCCACCTCCACTCAGTGCAAAAATACTTTCGTTACCATCGTGAAATTAGTGTCGTCGCTGCAAAATTCCGGTACTATCGCAGGAAAATCCGGCGGTGCTTCCGCACCACCGTAAAAAAAAACAGAACCGCGGCCACAAAAATCCGGCAGTGCTTCCGCACTGCCGCCGTTAATATCGGAGTTGCTGCCGCAAAAATCCGGCAGCGCTTCCGCACCGCCGCCGTAAAACCAGAGTCGCGCCGCAAAAATCCGGTAGCGCTTCCGCACTACCGCCGTTAAAACCGGAGTTGCTGCCGTAAAAATCCGGCGGCGCTTCTGCACCACCGCCGTAAAAACCTGCACCGCCGCCGCAAAAGTTCGGCAGCACTTCAGTACCACCGCAGAAAAAACCTGTGCCGTCGCTGCAGAAATTCGACTGCACTTCAGTACCACCACAGTAAAAACCAGGATTGCCGCTGTAAAATTTCGGCAGCATTTCCCCACCACAATAAGAAAATGGCAAGCCAAAATTGGTAAAATTTGGGCCCCAGGACCAAATCTCACAGTGCCGCACTGCCGCAGTCCCGCAGTACCACTGGGTCTGTCCCGTGGGACCAGCACCAGCCAGAGGAGAGGAGCAGAGTGCTCCCTGCCTTTGCTATGGCTGCCTAGTCGTCCTCTTCTCGCTCCTGTGCAGATCTCCAGCTTCTCCTCCTTGCCTCAGGCAGCAACTCAGCAGCCCAACAGCACTCAAGTGCACGTCACGCAATGACAGCACGAATGCTTTGTGTGGCAGCTGGGGACAGCTGGGTGTTTTATAGGGCCTGAGGAGGGTTGGTCGTCACTCCATCCCCCAGGCAAAATCGCGGGCTCACAACGAGCACTTGATCTGCCAGGATCCAAGGTTGACTGTGGTCCCACCACAGCCACAGCCTTAGTGTGGGACAGTTTCTTTAACTGCCCTATTTTTTTATTTTTATTTTTTTCCCCAGCCATCTCGGAATCTCACGATTGCTGGGTTCCTGCCATTTCCAAAACCTTTTTTCTTTTATTTTTCTGATAAGGGGTTGGAGACTCTGAGATACAAAAAGGGAAAGGCTGATGTATCTGGACCCTTTTCCCAGGGCAGGTACAACAAGGAAAAGGCTTTACCTAGCCTTTTCCTTAGTGCCCCTTCAATTTCCAGGCTCCCTTCAAAAACAGTTGCCTGACAGTTACCTCTGGCAGCCCCTGCCAGAGGTAGCACCACGTGAGGACAAATGTCCTCACAGAAAATAAAAAAAAGAAAAGAAAAAAGAAGAAAATAAAAGAAAAACCCCAACCTCCTTAACTGCAATGCTCCTGGCCGTGATTTGAGCCAGGAGCATGCAGCTATTTGTCAACAGCCTACTCCTTCCCTCTGCTGCCCTCCCCTGAAAACGGGGAGGACAGTTGTCACGTTAGGAGGAGTAGGGAAAAAACTCGTGAAAATTCACGAGTTTAAATCCCGACAGGCTCGGAACGGGGTGCAAAAAGTACCCCGACTTTGATGAATTTTAGAAAAATATTTGATAAATAAAAAAATGTTAACCAATTCATGCACATGGCCTAGATGCCTGACTACCGACAGAAAAAACTTCAAGGCCAACAAAATTGTTTTACGCCACCAAAGAACTGTCTCTTATACACATCTAGATGTGTATAAGAGACAGCACCACACACACACACACACACACACACACACACACACACACACACACACACGTAAAAAAAAAAAAAACCTTATTTTTATATTTTATTTTCTATTTTTATTTTCGTGAAGATTTTCGATGTGACCTTGCGGCAAAAGTTGTTCAGTTTATTTTTCTGCATAACATAGTTTTTTTCGGGAATTTTTGGACAACGTCCGTTGTTTTCCCCCAACGGGATTCAACGATGATTCAACAGGGATTCAACGGGGATTCAACGGGGATTTAACGGGGATTCAACGGGATTCAACGGGACAATTTTTTTTTGCTTCACGTGCGTCCAGCGTCGTGTCCGAGGCCCAATGCACCCTCCCTGTTGAACAATATTCAACGGGGAGGGCCCGTTGTACCATTCAACGAGAATTCAACGGGGCCCCGTAGGCTATTCAACGGGTACAACGGAGTTTAAACTTTCTCGTTGCCCGTTGAATAGACACATAGGCAAAGGGCAGACCCTTTTGTAAGTTCAGGGGGTTTTACTCAATGCCATGCACATGATGGATCAGAGAGAAATGAACCTGGCGGAGGACGAGACATGTTCCATAAGATTGGATGGTCTGGCCCAATGCCTCGCATATGCTGGAACCCGAGAGATTATAATTAGCTATATTTTAATACTATTCTACTTACGAACAGGCTTGTCAGACACGGGTCTGACTATAGCTTATGGTAAATTGAAGAGAGTACAATTAAGAATGTAATTGAAGGTAACTTGGGCCGGCTGAGCATTGTTTCTAAGATGAATGACTCAGTCCTACGCCACCTTGGAGATTAAGTTCAGAGAAGTGTATATAACTTGGATATTAAACAATTCAGGGCGACTAGGCATTGTTTCTAAGATGAATGGCTTAGTCATGCGCCCAAAGGAAGAGAAAAGTAGTTGCGCAACCTGTTCGTGTATACTTGATGGCTGAGTCAAGCATGTTCCATAAGATTGGATGACCTGACTTTACGCGTTATGTAAGCAGGGTATGAAGGGTTAAAGCATTTAAAGACTAATAACTATTGTTTGCTAAGTTGATTTGGGAATGGTGAGAGTACTTACCTTTGTGGTTTGGCCTGCGTGTGACAAAGTGAGGCTACTACATCGTCTGAGTTTCAGTTTGACAGGTAGTTGTTTTAGAGGCTCGCCACGTGCTAGAGCGATATGAGTTAGTTTCAATTCCTGCATTTTCTGAGCTAAGTTTTTTGTAACTTAGATATATTTTCGCATTTTCTGGGATCTTTTTGTTGTACTTCGCTTTGTATAAATTTTGGTAAGCTACTTTCTCTACGGGAAGCGCTGCCGAAATTTCTACAAATCCAAGGAGTTAGTCAAATTTTGAGTTTTCGAAGTTCAACTTGTCTAAAGTACATATATGGCTTAGTAAAAATCAGGAAAGTCTCCTGTTCTAAAGGGAGTGCTGCCCGAATTTGGCTAATCGTAAATTGAAGAGAGCACAATTAAGAATGTAATTGAAGGTAATTTGGCCGGCTGAGCATTGTTTCTAAGATGAATGACTCAGTTCTACGCCCACCTTGGAGATTAAGTTCAGAGAAGTATATATAACTTGGATATTAAACAATTCAGGGCGACTAGGCATTGTTTCTAAGATGAATAGCTTAGTCATGCGCCCAAAGGAAGAGAAAAGTAGTTGTCCAACCTGTTCGTGTATACTTGATGGCTGAGTCAAGCATGTTCCATAAGATTGGATGACCTGACTTTACGCCTTCTGTAAGCAGGATATGAAGGGTTAAAGCATTGAAAGACTTTGAACTATTGTTTGATGAGTTGATTTGGGGATGGTGAGAGTACTTACCTTTGTGGTTTGGCCTGCATGTGACTGAGTCAGGCTACTATATGGTCTAAGTTTCAGTTGAACAGGTAGTTGCTTTAGAGGCTCGCCACGTGCTAGAGCGATAGGAGTTAGTTTCAATTCTTGCATTTTCTGAGCTAAGTTTCTTTTACTTAGATACATTTTCGCATTTTCTGGGATTTTTTTGTTATACTTCGCTTTGTATAAATTTTGGTAAGCTACTTTCTCTACAGGAAGCGCTGCCGAAATTTTTACAGATCCAAGGAGTTAGTCAAATTTTGAGTTTCCAAAGTTCAACTTGTCTAAAGTTCATATATGGCTTAGTAAAAATCAGGAAAGTCTCGTTTTCTAAAGGGAGTGCTGCCCGAATTTTTGCTAATTCAGAGGGTTAAACAAAATTGGACTTTGAAAACTTAGAGACTATTTTTGTTTTCATGTTCGTGCTGATATTAATTCTGACAAGGCACTTTTCCTACGGGAAGCGCAGCCAAAATTTTCTTAGTTTAAAGGAGATAGATTATATTTTGACAGGTGGAGATTCTGGCGATCCACTCTGTATAGGGGAGTTTATGTCAGGGTCTACCTTTGCTTTGGGTACTGCTTTAAGGTAGATTCAGGCTTAGTCAATTAGGATGATTTGAATGCGATCGTGATATGAGGATTACTCTCCATGGACTTATAGGTCTAGCTTCGGAATTGACCTGTCTTGTGTTACAGGTCCTCTGGACTGTTTGATTCAGGATTTGGACTAGTTCAGTTGATCCTACGAGGATCATCTTATGTTATCACTGATAACAGGTCGGTTGGTTGATCGCCGACTTGTCGGCTCATGACACAACTTCGCTTACACCAGTAACTCAGCTTGACTGCCTTAGCCCTGTGAATTGTTATGTTTCTTTGAGGGCTTTAACGGAGCTTATTTTAATGACCATTATAAAGAACTTGTGAGATTTATTGAGATTTTGACTACGATTGGGGCTTGAGTGTGTGAGGCGTGGTGTGAGTTACAGGGAACAGTAAAGTTGACCATATTGGTGTATGGCAATGTGGCTATTGTGCATGCCTGTGTTTTATGCAGGTTAGTATTTTGAAGCTTGGTACATGGGCGATACTTTGGAGGCAGTGAGAATGAAAACCATGTGTCGCACGATCTGCATACCAAATGGGTCTATGTTTCCCCTTCATTTGTTGTTATCTCGATATCTGATTTGATATATAACTGCTGGGATGTTTATTTATTTTGGATGATTTTGCTTGTTAATGTTTATAGTTGGACGATGTAGTCTGTGGCAGCCGTCAAAGTCAAACCCCTTGACTTCTGCCCAGGCCTGGATTGGGGCTCATCTCCAGAGCAGTAAGAAATGACTGTCACCACAGGTATGGACCTATGTACCACCCGCTCTGCACAGAGTGCATTCAACCGCGCGTGGCGGTTGTCCAGCGTCAAGAGATTAACCCTTAGAGCGCGTGTCAGCCGACACTTGAGTGTCGAATGCCACCCTCAAGATTAACGAGGACCGCATGAGTATGAGTACTACATAATACGCCATTATTGCGACCGCTTGCGTACGCTTGCATTGCGAGTCGATATGAGTTAGCCCCGCGTCCGCGCGGTTTTATACTAAGTCTCGTGCGCGACGCCTATTCGATTTCCGCATTGGAAAGTTATGGGTTGGCTACTGAGGGGCTAGGAGCGTTATCGCGTTGTTTGCATTGTGTCGTTTTGTATGTGTGTGTGCGTGCTTTATTTTTGTGTTCGTAAAGTGGTGTGCGCGTGGTGTGTGGGATGCGTCCTAGTCGACTGACGACGAGCCGCGCTTGGAGCTTCAGCCCCCCCAGATGTCGGTTCGCGTGCGGGCCCGATAGGCGTATTACTGGGCGTGCCCCCTATGCTACAGCAAATGAGAAACGCCCTCAG